ACATTGTCTATGAAGTGTTTTTCGGACATGTTTGCTTGTGGATCCCGTTTGAGGCGTTCTCTCTAACCCGTTCTCTCTTTTGATGGTCCTAAGGGACAATGGGAGGCTTCGGGGAGGCTGACCTTTGCGGACGGACACGCAAGGGTGCCGCACGACTTAGGCAAAACCAGCTAAGTCCGTGTCATAACGTCGAACTGGTCGACGCACATCCACCTAAGGCAGGATCGTAAGCTCCTGAGCTTATCATCAGCGTGGGAGAGGCTGCGTGCATGTGACGCCTTGCTAGGCAGCAGCGGCTCAGTGCTGTTGCTGGTGGTCGCTTCCGCGATGATGCCTCTCGTCATTGATGGTGGTCTCAATTTTTTTAATTTAAATTACACATGTTATTATATTAATGGTTTATTATGAGTTAGCATGTTACGTAAGCAGACTTTAATGTTTGTTAACTTAGACTTGACAAGAGGGACTTATATGCTATGTTTTTGAAAATGTAGGTGTTATTTTAGACGTGAGCAAAACCATAAGGGCTTAAGTGATCCATGACCAAAACCACAAGAGCTAAAATGGATTTTTTTTTAAATTTAAATTATACGTGTCATTATATTAATAGTTTATTATGAGTCAACATATCACATAGGCAGACTCTAACATCTATTAACTCAGACTTGACGGGAGGGGCTTATATGCTACGTTTTTAAAAATGTAGGGGTTATTTTAAATACGAGTAAACCATAAGAACTTAAGTGGTCCATGGTCAAAACTACAGGAATTAAAATAAACCTTAACCCTTGTTTTTATCCTTATGATATATTAATTTTTGATCTACTTAAATATTTGTATGTTGGACTTAGTCCTTTTATGCTATATAGGAGCCTTGGAGCCTTCCTGTTTTATGTCAACCTGTTCTGGAACAGGCTTATCTAACTTGATCTAAAGTCTTAGACAAACAGGCTTTTCTCTAGATTTGTTTTTGTTGCAAAACCTTTTCATATTGCAGGCTAAACATTTTCATCTCTTGGCCTCCATAAAACACTTTAAAGTTTAACCTTTAGGAAACCTTCATTTTGCACTGGTTGACATATAGGCAGATGACTCACTGGTCTTATAAATTTCAACTCAGAATAAAATCTTCAGTAAACTTCTGGTTGACATATAGTCTGATGCCTTGCTGGTCTTAAAATTCCACCCAGAATGATGCTCTACAGTATATTCTGTAAGGATTTGACTGTTAACTGGTAGCCTGTTATTATAAAATGATTGATTAGGTTCTTTCTTGTTGTATTATTTTGGCTACTGTAAGTTGCAAATTCTGACTTTCTTTATTGAAGTTCATTAAACATATATAATACATAATAATAATATGATATGCTTAATATTTGTCTGACTGGGCTAATTTGATGAATTTTGCCTCACAGGGGTTTCCTTTTCTTTCAGCTATCTTATATGCTTAAATTATATTTTCTAAATATCTTGCAATAAAATTTAGCAAATTTAACGGGAGCTGACTGCTAAGTGCTAACCAGATGTTTCCAGAACTAGTAATGATTACTTCTATGTAGCATGACTAATATGCTGTGGTGTTGCACATGCAAAATATAGAAAAGAATTCTTATCTTGCACAGGTTATTGTTAGTTTGTCATACACCATGTTATTCATCTGGACATGTGATAGTAATGGTTCTCCTGGGTTCATCTTGTTTTTAGCATATAATATCTATGTTAAATTAGAAAGCTGAAGAAAAGTTTAAGTTTCAATTGCATTAATTGTGGAACTCTTTCCTTTTCTTGTAGGTCCAGGAGCACAATCATCCCCATATACTTCTACTGCAAATAGGAAATACTTTTTGTAAACTTCCTGGTGGACGTCTGAAGCCTGGAGAGAATGGTAGGTTATCATTGTTAGTGGAATTTTATATCCTTACTCCACTCTTTCTGAGCTCGTTAATTGCTCATGACAAATTTTCACACATCGGATCGTGTCTGAGCTGTGTTTATGTGACTACACTCATCAGAAATGGAGGGTCTGAAACGAAAGCTTTGTAGCAAACTTGCTGCAAATTCACCTTCCTTTCAGCCAAACTGGCAGGTACATAATCTCCGCCTTCACTAGATCCACTTTCTAGTTATAGATATCAAAGAATTCTATATAAAGAAAGACCATAAGAATTGAACATAATTCATAAAGCAAAATTTGCTGTTTTGTGTTTGTGGTTAAATCATATTCAAAGAAGCATTCATCATTACAAGAAAAATAATTCATGAACATCAACACAGTGGCCTTCTATATCACCTTAGTCTCAGCAACTTGCATGTTCCACTCCACATTCTATGCCACTAGAGGTGGCAGATGGCTAATTGTTCCCCAGTTTGTTTCTGATTTCCTAAACCATTAACCAGCATGGGTATTCATCTGGAAATTTGTGGTGTTGGAGCAGTTATGAGTTCTACTTACAGTTTTCCCTGTTATAATAATTGCAGGAATGCTATCATCAGATTTCTGTTGTTACTTGTTAGCTTAAGTCCTTCAAAACTTTTACTTTTCTGCATGGGTCAATTTAATTACTTTACCTGTGTCACGAGTTGATAATGAACTGGTTGCTATTTCATTGAATTGTTGCGGTACATATGTTTACCATGTGTTCTGTGAATTCCAGTAGTGAACCTCTTATGATAGTGATATTGAATTATTAGTTACATGTTTGCTTTAACCTGCAGATCGGGGAGTGTGTTGCTACCTGGTGGAGGCCGAACTTTGAAACAGCAATGTACCCATACTGTCCACCTCACATAACTAAGCCCAAGGCAAGTTGCATTTGTAGCTTTATAAGTCAGATGCAATTTAGTTAGTGGTGACCAATTTCTGATTCGGAACCTGAATCTTTCTATTTACAGGAATGTAAGAAGCTCTTCCTTGTTCACCTGTCAGAAAGAGAGTATTTTGCTGTTCCAAAAAACTTGAAGCTGCTTGCTGTTCCACTGTTTGAACTCTATGACAATGTTCAGGTACCAGTATTTTCACATGACATTCTAAATATACAGCAGACATCTCAACCGTTGGAAGATCTGCTTTATTACAACAGATGCAGTCAATGGTTTATTCTGTTAAATATTAGTGTTGTGCATTAATTTTTTAATTCCTCGTCCATTATTAAAATTTCTTATAGATAAATATACCAATTTAACTAGATATTAATTTTCAGAGATTAGCCTATATATTCAAAGCATAATATCTTATGCATATTGGAAACTGGTTTTGTGGTCTCAGTTATCTGTTAATTTTACCTTATTTGCAATTTTTCTTTCTTTTACCTTATTTGTAATTGTAAGGTCCTAATTCCTAACTGTATTTCATTTTTTGTGATGGTGGACTTACATTGTAATCTACATCACATGGTAAACTAATATTTTTATTGGCCATTTTACTGTTTTTATTGGGTATACCTTGTTTGCTGACTTGAGAAAATCATGGATAAGCTGAACCTGGCTGTTAAAATGAATGCAGAGATATGGTCCTGTTATATCTACAATTCCGCAACAATTGTCAAGGTTCCAGTTCAACATGGTTACATCCTAAAGCTGGTGGAGCTAATGTGGTTGCTTTCAAGGTAGTTTGCATGGGTAGAAAATTGCTGAAGCCGATTCAATCAAACTTGATCTTGTCTGAGACACAACAAGTATCTTAGTTTTTTCTCTTCTTCCTTTTGGTTTGGTTGTATGAACCTGTAAGTCAGCTTACAAGCAACTCTTTATGTATCCTTCGATTGAAGACGGTAGGAGTTTTATGTGCCCCCTCTTCCTTGCAGCTCACTCACTGTCACTGACTTTGCTTATTTGGGGGCAAGATATACAAGAAAAAAAAAAACTTGGCAGCTTCTCATGGTGAAATTTATTAAGTTTGTGATGAAACATGTAGTTAGTTTGGTGGAAGATAGCGTAAGATTTAAAGGTGGTTTGTGGGTGGTTTAGCTCATTCTGTGCATTGTTGTTCATCATGTACCAAAGATCTAATTATATAGAACCTTTGTATGTCTATCCCAAGTCATAATGCAATGATAAAGATGGTGGTGGTGTTGATGCTGATGCTGATGATTTCTTGGAGGTAAATGTTAGGAAATGTACACTATACAAAATCTAGGGTTGAAAGGAATTCAGAAGAGAAAGAGCTGCCAAGAGCTAATGTTCTTTACCAGAGACGTAGCATCATCCATATTGAGGTATTTAGCGTTTGTGCTTAGCCCCCTACGTTTGACGCATGGGTACACGAGTCAGATTTATATTGATAGTTAATCGGATTCAGAAATTAAAAGGGAGTAAAATTCAAGCCAACAAGAGATAAGGCGATGATTGTAGTTGGGACAAGAGAATGGCTGGTCAGCCACGTAGACTCCACAAGGAAGGAAAGGAAGATGATAGTAGTTGGTACAAGAGGATGGAAAGGAAGATGATAGTAGTTGGTACAAGAGGATGGAAGGAAGGAAGGAAGGAAGCAAAGAGCGCTTATATTATTTTTGAACGGGTCAAAGCAATGCCAAATGGGTTCTGATCTGTTCACCACACCATGGCAGGCAGGCTCAGAAGCAATGTTAGTACCTAAGGAACAACCATCGGCTAACTTCATATCATTCATTGAAATTTCCTAAAGATCATGTGTCCCAGTCCATGGCCGATTGATACATATCGGTCGATATAGGATCAAAAGTGGAATTTATTTTGGAGCCATTGAGAAAGAACTCAGTCTGCAGTGGTCTTTGGTAGAAGAAAGTTTAGGTGTAGAAACTCTACAGATTTGAGCAGAGTTAAATTTAAGATAGCAGCATTATGTGTATATGCTTCTATCAAACTAAATAACGAGACTCCAATCAATCAATGGATTGGCGTTCTCGATGTCTTGAATTTGTGTCTCCATATTTTATAGGTGTGTTGGACCAAAGCTTAAAACTATTTCCATGATATATTCATAGGTAAGTTATTGATGTGGCAATAGTTGTTGCCTCATCCTTATCAACAATTCGGAGCTTCCTAAGGCAAGTACGACCATGGCATACAGGGATGTAGAGGTTGAAGTGCACTAGTGCTATGATTATCATCACTCAACTATTGCTTTGCTTTGTCATATAAGAATATTGTGACAAACTATCTATTGATCATGAGATTCTTCGGTTGTGAATTGACATCATAGAAGCTTTGTTGCATCTGCTAAAAGTCAATGACTTTCTTTTTCTTCTTTCCTTTATCCTCCTTTACCATCAACGAGATGTTTGATCCTCGAGCTCAAGAATATGAATGTTGGTTAGTATGTGTAAAATATTACTCATCCGTCTATGCTCCTATTGAGCCTAAGTAGTCGAAACAATCAATTGATTATCGCTCCTATCCATGGACCTCAAGGAACATGGACTACGAGCGAGAAGGTGCCTAGTCATCATATTGCTCGTCAATCATATTTGAAGGATTAGCCAATGTTGTTGCCTTCCCCTTCTTCAAAATGCTGGGGGACGCTTATGATTGTGACTTGTCATGACTCCTATTAAACTAACTCCTTGATTACCATCGCCATGCCTATCATAGGGCTCCTCTTCCTACGAGCCATGTTGTTCCTCTTCTTCAACATCTTGTTGATGAAATGAGATCAAGTGTTGCTCTCCTTTCATGTCCTCTATGGGATCCTGTAATCCACCTTATCTCATACTACATATCTTGTCCAATCGAGTAGCAGATAGTTGTCTCATACCAGCATTCCTACCCAATCTCTATGACATGATAGAGATTCTTGTTGTAGATGATCCATTGTCATCGACTAAAGGTTGAGGCTTATATCATCATCGTGACCCTTGTACTCATCATACATTGATGCCTCGAGAGTGTACCTGTGCCTTGCTTCCTATTCGGATTACTTATATAAATTTTTATTTTTTTCTTATCAAATTCTACTCGAAAGGCTCTTCTTATCTCCTGAGGAACCTTCGTGCATTATGTGACATTGAGAAGTTCACCAATTATATATTGGTCTTGATGAGTTATTCTGCTATCATGACTGATATGACCAGAATGATACACTGCCAATGATAATAATGCTTTAAATGACGAACGTGATTTTATGCAAGATCATAAAGTTAGTGCTCTGGGTTCATTGGCCTACAAAACATGTCAATGGAATAAATTATCTCTAGTTAGCCCTTAATTATGTTATAAACATGCTGTAATTAATAATAAATTATCCCTAATGACCCCTAAATTGGATCTAAATTGACGAAAAAAATTCTTAATTAGCTCAAATTACCCTTAATTCATATGTAAATGGAAGAATATACCTTTAATCCACAAACAATTTCATAATCAAGCAAGAATAAGCATACTATTATTAGCTCTAAATTGTTAGCATCATAATGACACTAAGATGGGTGAATTAATATTATTTATAAATTTAAAATCAACTTTACATTTCAATTGAGGGGCAGGCAAATATTGAAAACAATATAAGCAATAAGCATGAATAAGAAATGAAAACTAGAGAAAAAGAGGCACATGATTTATAGTGGTTTGATTTTTCCAATCAAATTTCAGTCTTGATTCTTCTATCTTCAAAGCCATGAAGTCCACCAACAATCTTTCCTTTAATGGATAAATATCAATTATCCTTTTACAAGCTTCTTCTTTTTAAGACTTAAAAAGAGAATCTTACACTTAAATCTTTTATAAAGAACTCCCATTTTCTACGATGTAAAATCATAATTTAACTCAAGAAGATAAAGGAGAATCAAACAAAGCATAGAGAAAGCTACAATACCTACAAACTCAAGGATTGGATACTTTATTAGCCAAACCCGAATGATCAATTTATAGACCCCAAAAAATCTCATGAATAGAGCCAAAACTATCACTTTCATGTGATTTTGAGGTATAAGCAATACTGTTATTACATCACAATGATATAACTTTTTACATAGTGGTGTTATCGTGATACTACTATATAATGTTTGACAAAACATAAGATACTATCAATTGACTTAGGTGATACCATCGCCCTGAGGGTATAGCACAATATGTTTGGTCCAACCCAATTTCAAACCCAATAATTACTTCAATAAATTGTGACTATTTTAGCCTAATAACAAGACAATTTGGCCTAAAATAAATTTGACCAAGACTATTAATTATCAATGGTTCATTTGACACAATCGAATCTTTTGATTTATTATCACAACTTCAACATGTCATCGTAACTTTTAATGTTATCAAATCTTTGGGCACATTATCAAATCTTCTGATATATCATCCTATCCTTTGACACGATATCCAATTCTTAGCATATCGATCAATCCTTTAGCCTTATGTTCAATTTCTTGACTTGATGATCTTTAGACACAATGACCAACTCTCCATCCGGATATTCGACCTTCCAGTAGCTTGAATCCTTAATCAAAATATTTCTTATGTCATTTATCTTATTTAAACTTATCAATTGATATCATTATTAAAATCTATGATTTATCATAAATTACTCTTGATTAACTCCAAATTGGGTCTTAATGTAAGAAAACGACCCAAATTAATCAAAGACTAAATCCACATAGATCATGACTTATTACAAAAATAAATAGTTAATAACATGCTAATAAGGCTTTACTTAAGATTAATCTTTTGAACCATGCAAGAATAAGCCTTTAATTAGCTAGAAAATGCAGTATAATATACTCTTAAATCATGTAAGAAGTGGACAAATGATATCATTGAGCTTAATTTACTTAATTACCACTAATTAGATGTTAATTAATCCTAATCGACCTAAACATGAATTACTAAGACTTTAATTAGCCATTAAACATAGTAGAATGAACTCTTAAATCATACAAGAAGTTGAAACATGATCAGCTCATTATGCTAATTACCCCTAATTACGTCTGGATCAATCATTAATCCTTAATCAATGAAGAATTATCAATAATCATTAGGCTAATTATATAAAATGATGAAAAAAATACATAAAGATCACCTAAATATCTTAAATTGAAGACAAATTTCAGCCACTCTCGAGATTTATAAAGCCTCTTTTATCTAAACCAACATCCACTAATCGTGCTTTGAAATCTAAAATCATCAAGAGAGTGATCGAGTAAGAGTGAAAAACAAAATGAGAGGGTAAGAGGAGACAGCCAAGAGAGGTCAAATAACCTAACAAACGGGGCTAATAGGATTAAATTCGACTTTTAACAATATTATACCGATTAAAATTGAATCGTTACCGATCGATACTACTGTTGCCAATGTGCACCGATTGATATTACTGTTGCCAATGTGCACCAATTGAAAAATTGGATCATCACGGGCTGATAGTACTATCATCCGGTATTGATCGGTGACAATCAAAATTCTTGACTCTACCGCTCGATACACTTTATACCCTGAAATTACGATCAATAACTTTGATAGAGTTAAGGTGACAGAAAAATATTTGCATGACTCTACCATCTGACCCCGTAGGGGTAGAGGAAATGGAAAATGCCTAGAGAATGGGTGTAACAATATGATGCAGTAAAAAGGAAGAAAAATACATGAAGTTATCCACTGGTTTCAATGTTAGCCCAAACACTACCGTGTTATTTTAAATCTCACCACTACAAATAAATGACATAAAAGCACGTGTGTCATCCATCTCTATGGAGATATTCAATGGGTTTGGAGTCATTTAATCTCACCGCTTCCATATCATTTAATTTCACTAGTAGACTTCGACTAAAAATGAAATATTAAACTAAAACTGGACTGCTTCTACACGGTGCTACTTCTGATTTTGGATTCATCCATTCTCGTTTCAAAACCACTGATTTCAAATGATACAAATACATATATATATATATATATATACATATACATATATATACTATGTATATATATACATATACATATGATATATATGTATATGTATATAT